TGTTTATTTGCCATTTTTTATATTATTATATATGTGACAAAAATAAACGATTATTAAAAAAAAAAAAAAAATCATTCAATTCTCAATTCGCTCAATTTAACATCACCTGAACTATAATAATTGTTTGAGAACATCTACGATGCTTAATAAAAACTGTTTGCGTTCACGCCGAATACATTCGTTATTTCGAGTACCATTAGAAAATCATAACTAATCGGTTAAAGATAATCGATAGTAGAATTCAGCGAACTATAAGTTGAAAAGTCGCGCTCGAGCATAATCGGTCGGTATCGATTATCGATTATATCGGAGAACCGTGGAGAACTATAAAATCTTCTATTCTATTTAATTATCAGGATTGAAACAATGAGAATCCGAAGGAAACTTTCCGCGACTCCACTGACTAACAAGTGCGGTCATGGGGGGGTGGTTCCGGAACAAAGGAGGTTTCGAGTTAAACAGCGAGTGGCTGCCGAAGATTCCATCGGGCGCTCGGCCCGAAACCGATTTTCGGATCGGCCAATTAATCCGGTCAAGCGGTCGACACCAATTAAACTCCGGATCTTAAGACCGGTAACCGAAACCGGCCGATAAGAGAGCCCTGCGGCTCGTTTGAAAGCACTCGCGAATTACCTGGAAGGGGGGTAGGTAGGGTAAGTTTCTTCGAACGCTCCTAAACTCTCCGACCCTCTTCGGGAAGACGTCGAGCCGTTCTCCCGGTTATCCGGGTAACAAAAGAGGGAGACTGGCTACCGGACCGAGCGATGAGACGCGTACGCGGGACGAGGGGGTACGGGTTTTGCTTTGGAAAACAAAGTTTCCCGTCTGGCTGCCTCCGGTTTCGCGACAGAGGCCGTCTGCACTTGAGCCCGACAGCCGGTGCACCGTCCTTGCCACGAGATATTAATTTTTCCGGAAGTAACCTCCGCCACTTTTCTACCCCTCGGTCGCGACCGATCCTCACCCTGCTGTCCCTCACCCCTGCCAGATCCGCAGCCGTTATTTTTAAAAGTTACCACTAATCTATTTACTGATCAATCCCTTATTTATAGAATCAGCTGCGAAAAGTTCCGGACTNTACAAGTATTTCCACACTGTCTTATGATTTTCTTGTTATTTAATAATGTATCAAATGTCGTTTGAATAAATCTACAGCTTCAGGTGATCGATGAAAGAGAGAGAGAGAGAGAGAGAGAGAGAGAGAAAAAGAGTGTATTCCAATTAAATCTTGAGTAACTCCTTCGGTAATTGTCAGTGTAACGAACCAAATTGAGGCCTTGCCTTACTTTCATTAGACTCGAGTGCAGCGACTTCAATAAAAAGTTCTTAACTTGGTAAGTATGTATGTTTCAATATTTCTACCCAGATCGACGCAGTTCTCTACGCGCGTTTGTTTATTGTTGCGCGTTTTGCCGATGCTTTCCATGGTGGTTCTACGATTCCAATTCAACCAGACGTAGAACGGCAAGAAGTGTTGAGCAAAGCACAAGCGCGACACTGCTCGCCGCGTTCGTTTCTGTTTGTTCCGTTGACTTCTGACGTAGCTCCAAGGGAACGGCAATCTCGGCTTGAACTCGGATACCTTCCCGTGTCTCCACTGTCGCACTTTATCGCGAAACTCCCCCGAGTTCATTTCGCTCGAACGGTTTACAAAACCACTTGGCATAAATAGAAGGAAAAAGATCAGTCGTTGAACCGTTCTAATCGTTTCAAATCGGATGAATATTCCCTCGGCGATATTCTCAAACCGCGAATTCCCGAAACTTGTATCGCTTGCAAATTGCTGACCATCGACTAATCGACAGAACAATTCCCTTTTTCCTTTAACCAGGCCGCGTAGTATAGGATGTTTCATAAAGGCGCGTCTGTAGGTCAGGGCTAAAATAAGTAAAAAATTATGAATATATGTTTGATACAAGCCAGGGCATTTTCTAAATAAATTATTTGAAGAATTGTATTAAGATATTCGAAATGCCTGCTTAAAACGTTGTTGCGATTTATGTTATAACCAATCACGTTGCCGATTGCTTTCTCTTTCCTTTCCTGGGTGTGAGCGAACTCTCGTGCGAGTCACGCGCAGTTTCATCATTATACAGGGCGTCCCAAAACGCCCGGCCTTTGACGCGTGAACAACCGCTCCGCTCAATACGAAGCGTTTTAAGAAAATGACGAATAATAAACTACATGAATAACAATGCAAGGAAATTAATAACAATTAATATATTTAATCGTTATTCAAATGGAATGGATGGGGAAATGATAGTTTATTAATAACAAGGCATTATTATAACTATATTGCACTATTTGCAATTATATATTTACTGTTTGCAATTATATGTATGTGTCAGATCGGGCGTGGAATGAAGTGATACGAAATTCCGGGTGCATCGAGATCATAATTCAATCGTCTCTAATACGATGAGCATGCTCGTCCGATTGTGTAACATTACGCAAACCCGGCACGATGATTGATCCGTGTGCTAACGACACGTTCACTTATGTAATTGATCGTCCCTTCAGACTTAATGAAAACAACTTCGGATTTTCATTTTTATATCATTTCATAATATTATTGATTATTATGTCAGTCTGACCGAACTGATGAATCCACTGTTTCATTATGGGATTACAATTCTATTACAATTTCTTATTAGGTAATGAAAGAAGAGNCTTTGGGCAATATAGGTATGTACTAAGTTTCAGTTTTTCTAGTGTTAAAAAGTCGACTGGTAGGAAACTTTTGAACGTTACTGTATAACACAGAACGCGTATAAGAAGAATCACAAAGGATTTTTCACGTCGCGAGGAAGTAAGCAACGAGGCGGGCGAGTGAAAGCAGGTGCCGACTTCGGGTGAGCCGAAAGAGAAAAGAGTTCGACGTGGCTGTCGACGGGGGATCCCCAATCGCCATCCCATTCCTACAGCCGTGCGTACACGCATACGTATAAGCCACCGTTCACTCTTCTACCTCCTCTCTTTCCTTCGTTTCATTGTTTACCCTCTGTCGTCCGCGATTGTGTCCCATATGAAAAAGTTCAAGCTAAAACAATGCAGCCTGTCCGATAGACGTCGATGACATCACGAGAGACGTCGACTCATGAAAGGAAAGATTTTTCACATTTCTCCGTTCCATTCTACTCATTCCTTCCACCATTTATGCATTCACAAATATTTTTCAAGCTCCATTTTCAATTGAAGGAGGATAATTTATTTAATAAAAAACACACGCAATGTAAAATACAGGATGTCCCAAAACTAGTGTAAGATATTGAAATTGAAGATTCCTGACGTAATTTCAAACAACATTTTCCTTAGCGAAAAAGTTGTCCGAGCTGTGGTTGAGGAGTTATTAACAAAAAACCGCGACCAATCAGAGCGCTCGGTTGGCGCGATCTACGAATCNATTGTAATATTCGTGATTCACCAAACTAGTTTTTTATTGTTCTTCATAGGAACCATTCTTTTCCTAAAATCCTCACAATTGTACATTCCCTACTTAGAAATATAAAATTACGTCTTGATTAGCGAAGCTTTCACCCAAATTTTGAATAGAACCGAAAAGGGGTGATTCTGTAGGTGTTTCTGAACAACAATTTCCTTTGGCAAAATGCAAACTGAGACATAGTTTTCGAATTACTAACGAAAAACAGTGACC